CGTGCATTGGAGAAGAAACTATATGCTGAAGTTTTGATAAGCAATCATTTTTTTAATGCGTGACTACAATGTCTATCTGCATGTTCAAGGAACAGAGTTCTTGTCTATACTCCTCTCCAGGTGCACATAATTTAACCCATAAATACACGGACACTTTGAACATACAATGTGCTGAATTGTACTTTGACATTTAAAAGAAGGAAATTGGCTTCTAATTTAATTGTTTGACATGATTAGCAGTGAGACCAGTGTGATGGTCACCGGGGACGTTTCCTTTGGGCTTTGCAACTTCATCTTGATCAACCTACTTGCAAAGTACTAGATTGGTCATGTCAAATATGGCTAATTTCGCAATTTTAGTTGTGAAATCTTTCAAGTTTCACCTAAGCTCGATACAGCACCCATATTGTATTATTTTTTCCCCAAATTGTTTCAAGTCATTGTCATTAAAAATTGGTTGGGGTAGCAATGATATCTAAAATTTGCTCAAGGATACATTTAGTAAAAAATAGTTCATTCGGTTCAGAAAATTCTGCTTCTATCCTAGGAAGAGGTCTCAATTATTTAAAATTAGCTCTTGTTTTGATACTTTTTGATTTGTTATTTTCATTGGTTTCTGCGTTATTTCCATCTATCTTACAGCAATGAGATGACTCCATTGAGCTTCATGTCTCATGATCTTGTAGTTTTATGAGGGATAAAACTGATAACAAAGCTGTTAGATAAAATTCCTCCATATTTGATTTAGGTACTTGGCATTGGACTGCAGCATCCGTGAGTACTGGAGACCAAGGATGAATTGGAGAAAGTAGGCAAATAATTGGACAAAGAGGAATAATGTAATATTTAGGAAATCATTTTATACTATTCCTCTTATGTTGAGGTTTCTATTTTTACCCATGTTCTACCCTTTTTCTTCTTCTGTCTTTGGAGGAGAGGGTTTTATGAATATTTCTAAAATGCTGGTTTTCTGAATCATTTTGGCATATTCATGGCTTTGGTAGGAATAAATATGTTGGCCATCAAGCTTTGCCAACTTGGTCTTTGGAAGCTTCATAAATTATGTAAGAAGTATCAATATGAAAAATTCACCAAAAGCATATTATTGTGCTATCAACAAGTTTTTTATTTTTCCTCCCTCTCTCTCTTGGGTGGCAAGCATTGGTGTGACACCTTTTTTGGTGGCATGCTCATGACAAGGTTTGTGTGCTCAGTGTGTATGTCTTTCTAAACATTTAGAAAAGCAGTTTAGATTTATGGTTTCCTTGGAGTGGTTAGCTTGCTACCCAGACTTGTGCAAACGAGGTTTGAGAAGATAAGTGTTAGATCACTGTCCTCTGTTTTAGTTATTTTAAATGGAGCACTGCCCTCTATTATTGTCATTTTCAAAGGATCTGTTCTAGTTAGACTAATAGTGGAATCTGACTCCATAGTTTCTGTACAATGGAAATGGATCAAGAATGTCAAGGATTGCTGTAGAATATGTGGATTTCTTCTAATGAGATTGGATTCTCTCATTGCTCGAATTGGAGTTTTCTCTTTTTAAAAATGTACCCAAGGAAGCCTATGGTTTGGCGGATTCATTGGCAAATTTAGTGCTTCTTGAGTCAGTTAGTTTATGACATGGTGGTGAATTATGGTTCTCCTGGTCATTTTCTTTTAATTTTCGATTGTACCTTTTAAGGTGGGTTCTATGTCTTGCATGTGTGCATTTGGATTTGTTTACTTGGATGTTTTTTGGGGATCATTTTTTATATTTGTATTTTTGGGCCTTTTTATGTTTTGTTATGACTATGGCAAGGATCTTTTTTTTTTTTCTCTGTTTCTTGGGTCTATATGGGCCTTTTCCTCTGTACTACTTTTATTTCTAATAAATTTCCTTGGCTTAGGGAAAAAAAAAGCAGAAAAAAGACAGCCAAGCCTAAAGCATGTCTTCTCAGCTCTGTGTACTGAGTATGTATTTCATGGGCATCGATGTTCTAAGTTAAGTTGAAAGTGAATAATGTAATGGATGTGTATACTAATGCTGAAAGCGATAATTAATTTATAAGTCGAAAATACTGACAAGAATTTTGATAATATTAGAAAATGCATCTTGTATGCTGACATCAATGCTTCATTTGACTTGTTTGGAAGAATATTATGCATGAGATCATCTTTTCCTTTTGTTTGCTGATGCTCCTGCTTTTAAGTCCGTTTGCTTGTACCAATCTCAGGGAGAAGAAAAGCTCCGAGTTATATATGATAAGAAGTACTAGCAGCAAAAGGTTTTAGATGATGAAGGTGCTGAGTTCAGTAAGATTGACAATATTCACGGTTCACTCAAAAGGTTTGCTTTCAAAAATTAATGTAGCTGTCACAGCAGTTGAGGTGATATCGAGACAAATACACAGTTTAAGAGATGAGGATTTGCATGCCCAACTGAAGGAGTTGATTGAAGGGTATGAGATAGACGATCACTTTACCTTTCTCTTTTCCCCTTATCCTGTATTTTTCCCGTATCCATTATTTATATTAATCTTTATGGGTAACAAGGAATAACTGTGCACTATTTCTGTTTCCAGATCTTTCTATTCTACTTCATGCATTCAAATTGTGTGCTTTCTTTTACTTGAAGACTAGTACAATTCCTCAAATACTTGTTTAATCATGTGCCCCATCCTGCTTGATGTGTTAGTGGAGAATAAAATAAATTAGAATATAAATGAGAAAGTTTTTCTTAATGCTTTCATGTCTTGTTTATTTTGAATATTTTAAGAGGAATTTCACTCGATTTCTTTTTCTCTTTAATACATTTTGAATGCTGGTGTGATCTCTAGTTTCGGATGTATATGCTGTTGTATATGGTCATATCTTACTGATTTTTTCTTTGTTGAGTAGCGGAGAGGGTTAACAGTTGGATGGTTTGCTTCTCTTATTAACAATAAATTTAAGTAATGGTTTCTTTCTCTTTTTTTGCCAATAAGTAATAGTTTATTCATAATCAAGGGCCATGAGTTTGAAGACAAGCATCATTCCAATGATACAATGTTTTAAGTTACTCATGTAATTTTGATCTCTGGTTTGTACCAAAAAATCCAATTTTGTATCTCGAGGTAGAGAATGAATTGATCATGAATTATCCTGGGGATATGCTTGCAGATGTTGATGAGATTGATTCTGTTTCTTTATTGGTTCTGACCACTCCTATAGGACCCGTATTCTGAAGGACTGAAACAAGTTAATGTTTGTTTTTCTTTTCTTAGGCAACATGTATTTTTCTATAAAGAAGAAACTGAGAAACTTTCTGAAGAAGCATCCAGAAAATCAAGTTGATTAGGCATTGATATATTTACAATAGCGTTCAACTAACTGAACATGGCATGAAAGAGGGCCTGGTTGAAATTACTAAAAACTGCATGTTAGCAGTAGGGTTTTATTTTCAAATTTCAGGCATAATGTTGAAATCAACTGAAAAGCATGATTGAATACATCACCCTTGTGTGTTTCTTTTTTTTTTTTTTCTCCATTACCTGTTCTAATGTGCCATAATAATATATTTATTTTCAGGTTAATGAGAATGTGGGAGTTGATGATAAAATGGCATCAAAAGCAATTCCGAACTATCATAGGGTCAAAAGCATATGTACATATGGCAAATGTGGATGGTCGAAAAAGTTCAAACATGAAGGCTAAAGAGAGACTGGAAAAGGAGATATTAAATTGGGGCGCAAGCATTAGAGATTATGTTAGTACTCAGAAAGCCTTTGTGAAATTCTTGAATGAGTGGCTTTTGAGTGCATCTTGCAGGAACCAGAAGCAACCCCTGCCGGAATGTCTACATTTTCAGCTAGTAGCATTGGAGCTCCACCGATATTCAGTATCTGTAATGATTGGTACCATGCAACTGAGAAGATTTCAGATGGTGGAGTATATGAAGCCATTCTTAGTTTTGCCTCAAGCTTGCACCAGTTATGGGAGAAGCAAAATGAAGAACTGAATGAAAGACAGAAAGCTATGCACCTGTCACAGGAGTTTGAGAAACAGCTAAGAATTCTTCACGAAGAGAGTGCTTTGACTTTGCATTGGCATCATCAAGATGGATTGTTCAACCATTATTTGGCTGCTTCAGAATTTCCTGCTAACATTGAGTTGGTCTCTGCCAATGAGAGATTGGAAGAAGTAAAAGTCAGGCACGAAGTAGTTATTAAACAACCGAATGATGCTGCTTCAAGCTGCTTAAGGGATGGTCTGGTTCCCATTTTTGAGGCTTTGGAGGAAATTTTTTTGGAAAACTTGAAAGCCTACCAGCAAATCAGATTTTTGAACAGACAATAAAGTAGGAAGGGAAGTGGTAAATGAATGTCAAGTTGTCAATATGAGAAAATTTTTATCGAGTAATAAAACTACAATGAATCCCTAATTATCGATAAAGACCGAGTATCAATACTCTAAAATTGTGAAAACTTTAACCAAAATAGATTTTAACATATAATTTAATCTTTTGAATTATATCATTTTTCAGGATTTAATATTTATAATAAATAATTCATGATTTGATATTTAAAATTTTCATTCTGTTATGTTATTTTTCAAATATTAATTTCGATAATAAATATAATGATATGATAAGAAATCAATGAATAAGATTATTGTTGTGAAACTATAACAATGAGGTGCATGCTAACTTTTATCATTGCCACATGTTTCATTGAAATAAGTAAGCATCCAATCAAACTTATTGGTAACAGGTATTAAATTTTACTAAGTTAATATTTGATACATTAATAATGTATAACTATCATAAATTATTACTCAATAATACAATGACATTTCATTAATAAATAAAATTTAAACATTAAACCTATAGGACTAGATTTCTCTCCTATCCTCCATCAAGATTAGAGTAATGCATGATTGAGATTAAGTCAGGTTGACAATATTACATAACCCAGAGAAATATTGTAAGTAAATAACATAATATTATCACTTTGAATACAAGATTGAGTAATACAATTGAAGATGAAGGAGAAAAAGCAGCTAGCTAGCTCACTCTAGTTTTTGCCACTTTGGTTGCCGGTGCTATTGGGTTTGCTGTAGCAGTATTATTGTTACGATTATGATGATTGTCATGAATCGTTAGATGCAGCTCAGCAGCAGCTATCAGAAAATGCACACCCTGGATTGGACTCGACATGTCAATCACAGCTTTCAGTGTTTTCAGCCTCAGATCATCTGCCCTTTGCAGCATCTCCTTCAATCCTTCCTCCTTGGACTCCACGGCTGACTCCACTCTCTCCTTCTCAACTCCAACACCTTCTCCATCCCCGCTCCTCATCATCTGAGATAACTCAACCATGGACGAGTCTGCTACCGTCTCTTGATGGTTTGCCATCTTCCCGCTTATCTCTTTCTCTTCCCTGATGGTCCTTGCCTGCAACTCATCGATCCTTGAGAGTTGACTCGGTGCTAGGTCACCCAAATCTCCCCATCCAAAATCCACGACGAGTTGGTCCTCCAGTTACAGCCCTGATTTTGAGTAGAGTAAGTGAAAAGCTAAGCTGGGTCGCCACCCGACGATCCATGGAAAAGCATCCTCAAGCGTGCTGGTCCGTGATTACCATAGATTGGGAGTTTGGTCTCTTTGGATCCAGCAGTTTTGCATGTGCCAGATCGTAAATATCTGACTGAAAACTGCCCTAAATTTATTACCATAGCGAAAAAAACAAGAAACAACTTGTTCGCAACTTGCAGCTTAGATTCCGCTGCACCACCAAATGCTCCTTGTCATAGATTTTTCCTATTATTTGTCCTTATTTGGAAACAACTTAAATAAGTTGTTTCTTTAATATATTTTTTTCAAGCTTCTCCAATAAAAACAACGGCCAAACCATGATTTTTATAGGGGAGGTACAAACATATATAATTTATATCCAAGGATTCAATTCAATTAAAATATTTTGAGAATGGAGGAAAAAGAAACTCAAGAAGAATTTACATTTTGAAATGCAAGTAAATATTGTCCACAGAGTTGTTAAAGTATCCATTACCCTGTACTGGTATTAGTTGATTCTCATCAACCATCATCACTTCTAGAAATGCTTAAAAGTTAGTAGGAGCTATCACCTTCTGGAACAAGCACATCAAAATCACTTACAATCCATTCTGCGGTCTCTCTTGTGCGGCTCACATATATTTCAGTACCAACATTGATTGAAGACCAGATGCGCCTTGCAGGTTTTGTTCCAGGATCCTGCATGACATGGCAGGGATATAGCTTTTGTGATCACTCCATAGAACACGTTGAAGAATAAAACTGATATTCAAAAGCATCGAGCTGGACACATATTATCAATGAAAACTGAAGAAATCTCTAAAATAAAACTATTTTATTCTTCTATATTTTTCTTATTACAATGCTAGAATTGCATGAAAATGTATAGGCTAAAGACTGAATATTCTTAGCCTTAAAACCCAAGATTTTCATGCATTAAACAGCTAAATCAAAGGAGTAATTTACTATTTACACATAATAGGAAAATATCTAATGGATTTGGTGTAATTACCAAATCACTCCTTATTCTAAAAATAAGAGACTTAACTAAAAAAGACAAAATCAATTAATCAAGTAATAATGAAGCTTAGATTTCTACAGATCTATATGACCTATGTTCTTACAAAGCAATAAGCAGCAGATATCCTAACAAATGAATCACATAAACCAAGTTTTAAGACTCTTATTGACAAGCTGAGAATGATATATATTTATTCTCTAGTTTGAGAGGGAGTGTTGACAAATTATGTATCAAATCAGGATCCATTTCTTAATTTGTTAGGATTTATATTTCTGATTTTTTATTTGTTTATATGTTTGGATGATTGTGTCCTGATTTTGTGGGTTTCTTTGTCCAAGTCAATTCCTCTATATATTTGGTGATTCTTTTTAATAAAATAACACTTAGAGAACATTATTTTGTCACTGTTTTCAAATAGAATGGAGCCTCATTTCACCAAAGATATGATCCTAAATCACGTGTTCTGGCAAAACATGATCCACGTAAGCGAACCTTAGGAAATGAGAAACAAATTAATTTTTTGTTGTTGTTGTTGTACTTACCATCAGTAATCCATGAAGCAGTGGAAAGGCAACTAACCATATTGAAAATTCAACAAAAATTTGGGGCCTATCAAAGATTTAACAAACCTTTTAAGAATCTAAATAGTTTGCCCTTCAGGCAATTATTTTTTAAGGTAAATATGATTCTGATAAAAATAAATGGTGCAATGACATTTTTTATGAACCAAAAAGAAAGAGTTAATTATAAAACCTACAGAGCAACTTAATACGCACTGCAAATTGCAACTGCAGTCAAGAGTCACCAATACATCCTTTAAGAAATGTATAGGTGAAAAAGAAGATCTGTGTTCCATTTTTCCACTTTGAATTCAATCAACTTTGATATGTAAATGAATGTGAGAGAGGAGAGAGAGAGAGTCTATTTAAAGTAGAAACAATGTTGAGCTACAAGTGTTGACAATGCCCTATGGTCAATTTAAACACCAAAATGCTCTTGTTGAGCTACACGTGAGGGGGAGTGTTAAGTGGTGTTATCCCATATTTGTTAAGTCTTGAGTTTCATATGATCTATTTGAGTTGGGCCTTTCCATCTGTAGTTAATTGGTTTTAGGTTGGATGTTTAACATTATGAAATCAACTAAGAGTTATCACTTATTCGTTTGCATTGAATCTTGTGATTTTATATTGTATCTTTTCATTTTTTTTCAAATAACAAACTAAAAGGAGAGAATTTACTCTAATGAAACAGTTGTTGGAAAATTAACTTCGAAAATTAGGTAAAAGCAAATTACAAAGGAGTACAAACTAGTATATTCAAAGGCAGTGTATTGTAGTTTAGACGATCGAAGTAGTAAGACACAAGCTTTGAAGCATTGGAGTTTAAGCCTATCAAGTGCATTTCATATTTTAATAAATATACAGCTAACATTAGAAAAGTAAAAAATATAGATAAATAAATTTATGAGACCAAAATGAATAAAGTGCTACTCCCATGATGCAAATATGATCTGCGAACCAATTATTCATGATTCTATCCTATGGGAGAACTAAGCCTGAATAACACAAATTAATAGAAAAAATAATCACCTAAAAAGAATGTCTAGCCTGCTAAAACAGTGACGGCAAAATAACCTCTCCTTTCTCTTTAAACTCTTCCTCCCTAGAACCTTCTCTATGAATTTTCTGTTTCAAACCCATTTCTCTTTAAACTCTCTAATGCACCAAAGTGAAAGCCCACCACTAAAGAGAGAGAACTAGAAAGAAATGAGCTATTGAACCATTTTTTTTAACTGATGTCATCATAATACTCTGGTAAAACAACAAAATACCTGGTAGAAGTATAAACGGCTTGAGAGAGCACCCACATCAAGCTCCCAAGTTCTTGCGTCTCCAATCCAGCCATCTCCTTTCTTTTCAGGATAGCCATTTACAGCCCATTCAGGATGTGGAAGAATTTGTACCAACTCTTGTGATTGTGGATTGCTATATGGATCACAGATATCATATGGTTCCTCCAGATATTTGGCATTTCCTGGACTGCAATAGAGATGATATGCAGAATATGGAAACCGAGCTGTCTCATTTCTATATATTATCTCACCGATAGGACTAACATGGTAAGGTGGGCAAGAGACCAAGTTATCTGGGCGGCACCAGTTTGTCATTTCTGGATTAATTATCATCTCACTGTATCTAGTCACATCTGTGAGAACATCACCATCACATGGTTCTCCATTGTTTTTCCAACAGCTTCCTATGTCAAGTAGATAAAATTGACTGTTGGGTCCTCCTCCAAGTTTTATATCAAGTGTCAACCTTACTACAAAATTTGGAGATTCTGGCGACTGAGAGATTAAAAGTAATTCAAACAAATCATGTTTCTGAGACTACAAGACTTAAAGCCTCGTCAACAGTTTCATTTCACAGGAAAAAGGAAAGACAGACTCTCAAGTAGAAAGTGAAGCAATTAGGATTAATGAAAACACAATGCATTTTTGTCTCTTGGAACAGAAAAGATGTAAGGCAAATATCTGCATAAGATCTCTAGGAGATATGCATAAATTCATAAGAAGAGCAAAATCAGGGCTCTATATTTCAATTCTAACTTAGAACAGTATCAACTAAGTAGCAAGCATGTTCAAAGAAAATACTCACATACAAGTGTCTGTTTTTCAAAGTACATGCAGACAACAAACCTTTTTCAACATGCCACGTCCATTATAGTGATAACCACCATTAAACCCTTCTGTTGCATCCGCACGTAGGTATAACATAAGCCAGGGATATTTAGTTGATGTTGTTAACCTGTGAGAAAAAATCCAACTCCCTGTGCTTATATTCTTCTTCCATGAGACTGAAAAGAAGGAGTTGTTTCCTACACCTTCACTCAAGTTGGCATCAAGGTCATATGTTCCATTAAATTCTCCAGTTAAATAAAGCTTCTGGTCGCCAAAGGAATCTAATATTGAGTACTTATGGTAAACAAGTGGCTGATTCATACACCCCCCACCAAAACAGGGAAATTTTCTGTCTGTGACTACTTCACTTACATGTTGTCCATTCTCAGGACAAAGGGTAGTATTTTTGTCAAAGTTCCCATTTTTAACCATGATCATCCAAAATTGCCAGGGATTTGGCGATTCTGGCACCTCACATAAAGAGCCAAGATACAGTTCTTTCTCCTTTGCGAATAGGTCAGGGTCTTCGTAAGACTCAAAATCCATATCAGGAAACTTATCACCAGCTCCTAAGCTGTTGTCAGTATCATTCACTTTGTGAAGTACTATGCATTGACTGCCATTATTAACAAGGCCATCACCCAGATGAACTGATTATTACAACAGAAGGCCAGTAAGATGGTCAACATTTGAAAAGGATATTTGATACATCCAATTTTATGTCAAACAGATAAAATTTTGAGTTAAAGTGAGAGATGTGGATATAGGACCTTAACATATTCTTCATTTGCTTATAATGGTTAACAAGATGACAATGAAACTGAATACAGTAGCATTCTCAAAGATAAATTACAGTTCTTAAATAAGGACTCCTACAGATTCTTTAAACTGTATCACTAACTTGAGAATTAAATATTTGGGTTTAACGTGGGAGAACTTAAGATCAACCACAAATAGATTGCAGATAGAATTGGAATAATGCTACAGGATCAGACAAGCTTTACTATCAAAGAAATCAAAACGCATTGTAGGAAATTGATTTGTACCAAAGAACTCAATTTGCTCAGCAAGGTTATAAATAGTGAAAGAATTAACAGAAAAAGAAATAAAGTAGCTTGGGTAAAAGATTAAGGAACCTCGATGCACCTAAGATAAAATTTCCTATAAACTCTTAAAAGTGTGAAATATGTCAAAGAGAGGATTAGAACACTTTATGGACTTAAACCTAAAAGAAATTTAAAAAATAAAAATAAAATTCCAATAAGGAAATCAAAGCATAACGTAAAACATCATAAAAGAAGTACCTTGCCATTTTTGCAACCTATAATATTAAAGCAACGATATAAAGTTCTAGCAAATAAATAATTTAACAATAAACAATTAAACGAAGGGCTAATTTTTTTCTTTGTTCTTTTCTCCATCTTCCAGATGAGATGATTATCCTCTATCCACGACAAAGCTACAGCATAATTTTATTAACAAACAAGATGGATGCCACAAGAGAGATAATCTGGTCTTTAGCTATATAATTAGTGAGGACTAACACAAGGATTTTAACTGTGAAATTAAGAACTGAATGGCACAGCATATTTTCAATGTCAAAGTTTGAAATTGGTCCTTATGCTATCTCAATTTGGTGGTTTTAGCCTCTACCTTAATTTTAATAAATTTAATCATGCACCTTTATTAAAGGTTGACTTAAGGAAAATGATAACAATGTTAAAACTTTGTCTTTAACTTGGATGACTAAGCATGCTGAAGTTAATTTTTGGCTAGGTGCCACATATGAATCTAAAAAGTATACTTTATTTTAATTAAAAATAATTAATATTTTTTAAAATTCTAAAGAAATATTTTTTAGTAATTTTTACTAAAATTAGTTTTTTTGTACTAATGTGTGCTACCTTCCTAAAAAAATTCAAGTTGGGATGTCATGTCATCAGCAAGAAAACCAAAAGGCCAAATTTAGCTGCAAAAATTTAACACTTATCAATTGTTCTTAAATCGAATTTAACAAAGGTGCATGGGTTAAATTTATAAAAATAGGGGTAGAGGTACTAAAACTGCCAAAGTGAGATAGTAGAGGAACCAAATTCAGATTTTGGCCTATTTTTGAATACTAGAATTCGTGTGAATGCCTAAATAGTACAACGAAATGACAAGTTTGGGCTTTTGATCTTGGCTACCACAAAATGTGATCAAGAAGAAAGTATGGACCCCAATAGCATCAAAGGTAGAGAAAAGAATGAGATTCAAAACTTTTCAGGTGAAAATGAAAGCTGAAGAAAGGGCCTGAGAAAAATGGTAACCAAGGTCAGTGATCAATTTTGTTTTTCTCATGATGTCCTCATTTGAAAAAAAAAAAAAGAAAGGTTCAAGTTCTGCCCTAGGAAAGTTTTCTAGATATATTAGATCTTAGGAAAGTGTTATCATGCTTTGTGATCAAGCAAGCAATATCAATCACGAATTCAAAATGCATTAAACTATACATTTCAATGGATTGATAATCAAATTGACTTTTATTTCTTTAACACTCTAATATTTGGCAAAACGATTATTCACTATAATCAAGCACAGAGTTGATCAGGTAGCTTTATAATATAATTAGTAATGCTAAGAAACTCTGTTGCCTGGCCAATTGATTCCCAGGTTTAAAATCAAAGACATTAGAAAATGCACTTGACTTCAAGTACATACTCAACAAATTTTATCAGGTTAAAGATTTATCAACCCCAAGTTAACAGACAAACGGAACACTCCATATACATTTATCTAATGTTGCTTGCTTATTACCTATCTAGGAGATTAGAAATAACTTTAGAAGCAATCCTAATTGCAAAAGGAAAGAAGTAAGAAACAGTTAACAAAAAGCCAACCACTTTAAGTTCATTTGGATCCGCTTCATAGATAAAAATGATACGAGTGAGAAAGTACCAGTATTGGAAGAACAGGAAAGATCTGCACAGTCGGCCCATCGGGGGCTGCCCATGTCGGGAACTTCAAAGCCAACTTCGTTGCAGAAATTCCAAGCTTCCAAAGCAACTCTGACATTTGGGTTTTTCATTCCAGGGTCCCCTACGGCGGAAACGTAGTTGGTTGACTCACCATACATCCACAAAAGACCACAAGTCAAAACAAATAATTGTTGGAAAACAACGACAAGAAGTGCCCAACAACAAAAACCCATGTTGGTTTCGCTGCTACGGCTGTGAATTACTGTGGTTCGGGCTCATTGAGAAAGAAAAAGGAGGAGGTGCGCGCGTTGGCTGGACGTTCCATCTTGAGCGTGGTGGCACGGGCTGAGGATAAGGGAGATGACATTTTCAAATAATTCATGAATGGAATTGGAGAGAGAGAGAGGAGTTTGGTACTTTGCTTTGCGTTGCTTTGAAGATAATTTTTGGACACGTTTGTTGCCGTTTGTAATTTGCCTCTTTCTGACTTTTCACTGAGTTTGTTAAGATGGCATTTTCGTCTGTTGGACGCCCGGCATAGCCTGGTATTAGGGTCGATGCAATTTGCCTCTGCCACTCCAATTTGCTCATATATGGATCGTGTCCGGTCAGACCCGACAGGTAGTGGGTTTGGGTTAGACTATACCAAGTATGCACCAATATTTTCTTATATATAAAATTGTTTAATTGTTTGTTTTTTTTTCAATTTCATAATTATGAAAAAAAGTAAAAATAAATCAAATTAGCCTCATGACAATAAATTTTTAGGATCACAATAAAAAATTTTAAAATTTAAATATTATAGTAGATATTTTATTATAATTCAAGAGTTAAATATAATATTATTATTATTTCTGTCATTTGGATTTTAGAAAGGATGACATGAAAAAAAGTGTCTTTTTCCATTGTCAAAAAAGATGAAGTAGCTAAAAAATGAAACGTTAAACAGTGATATGACCCTCAAATTATATTATTTTTGTCAAAAGATCCACCACCGTATCAATAAAATAAACAAAAATTTAAAAATTTTTAATAAAAGATAAAATTGTAAAATAAAAAAAAAAGTCTAAGAAAGTTAGAAATTTGAAAAAGAATAATGTTAGGAATGGCTTTGAATTCTAATAAAATATTTGGTATGACATTTAAATTTTAAAAATTTTAATATGACACTTAAATTATAAATTTATTAATTAATATAATATTTAAATGTTATTTATTCATCAAATAACATCATTTAGAATTAATCATATTAAAAAATAAATATAATATTAATTAATAAATTTATAATTTAAATATTATATTAAAAATTTAAGTATCATATTAAATATTTTATTATAATTTTTTATTCATAACATTAATTCATCTAAAAAAATGAACAAAGTTAAAATTTTGAAAAAAAAAAGAAGAGAAAAGTATGGAAGAGAGAGAAAAGAAGAAAAGGTAACAGAGAAAAAAAAAAGAAAAGAAAAGGAGGGGTGACAGACAAATCATTGAATTAGTCGATCCAAGGAGATCGATGACCAGTTTATCTCTGATTAGCCATTTTGATGATCGACTGCTCCATTGTCTCCCCATTCTTTTCCCATTCCATCCTTTTTCTCTTTTTTCTCTAATTTTTCTCTTTTCACGATTCTCTTCTCTCTTTCTTTCTTTTTTTTTTTATAATTTTTTTGGATTTTTTATTTTGAATTTTATAAATTTTTTTTATTAATGATGAGATGCTTAGATGTAAATTGATGTGCTATTTTTAATACGACGATCTATTCTTGGCCAATTAAGCCACGTTTGCTTTCTTTTTTAACAAAGTTAGTGCTTGGGATAATTCACCGGAATGTAAACTTAAGTATTTAATTACGAATTTTTATTTTCAAAATACATACTAATAGTTTCAGGCAAATCATAATTAATCAAAAAATAAAATTTGTTGTCTAATGTTTCATTTGTTTCTTGAAAATCGATTTCTAAAAGTAACTTTTGAAAATATTGATATTTTTCAGTAAGCTTTTATTATTTGAATGATTAAATGAAAAATATTTTATATTATTTGTTTTTTTTTTTAATCTGCTTTTATTAAATAGTAATATTAACATAACTATTAAAACACTAAAATATTTATTATCAAAATATTGAAATTTATTTATTATTATAATATTTAAAAATATTAATTATTGAAAGTATTAAGATTTTAAATTAGTAATATTTTAGTAATAATATTTATTATTAAAATATTATATAATATTAAATACTTAAAATGAGATTTTTTTTATTAAAATATTATTTATATTAATATTTCAGAATATTTTGAATAGAATTATTATTAAAATATTATTTCTATTAATATATAATATTAAAAATATTAATATTTATTGTTACTATAAAATATAAAAAATATTTATATTATTAAAATATTAATATTTATTTATATCGAAAATATTTATTATTAAATAGAAAAGTCTATTATTTATTTATATTTGAAAATAGTAATATAAAAACATATTTATCATTAAAATATTCACATTATTAAAAAAATAAAAATATTTATTATAATAATATGATTATTCATTATTAAAATAATGATATACTATTTATTATTAAATATTAAAATATATTTATATCTAATAATATTTTAAAATATTTATATTTAAAATATTAAATAAGAAATTAATATAACAATATATTAAACTAGGTTAAGCTGAATTCAAATTCAAAAAATCATATCTAGAGTTTAATTCAAATTAAATAAAACTCATAGATTTAACATTCGTTATATTTTTTATATGTAATATCTTCTTTAATTATGTAAAATATAATAGTAAAAGTTTAAAAATAAATTAAAAATTTTTAAATTATTTTTAATGATTATTTTTGTTTTTATTAAAATTCATCTCATCATTAAGAGACAGTTGATTCGTAAAATATCAAATTTGGAGAAAGAGTTTGATTCTCGAGAAAATGCGATGCCCAAGGTTTTATTTTATTTTTGGGGCATTCTGTGTTCAGATTTATTTGTTTGGTTGAGAGGAATTCACGTATATTATTTCTTGAATAATTATCATAATCTTCTTGACATATATGATGATAATTTTTCATTAACAATAAATACTCAAAAGACAAATTATGCATTTATAAAAAAAAATAAATATTTACTTGAATGCTATTTTATTTATAAAATATCATCATTAAAAAAATATTGAGGATTATTTAAAACATTTTTTGTTGGAAAATGAATTAAAAAATATTTTTTATTTTTTATATGGGGATTATTTAAGTCTTTTTTCAACCAAAAATATTTTAAATAATTCATTCATATTTTAAAAGGGGATTATTTAAGAAGTTTTTTGTTTGAAAACGTTTTAAATAATTTTTTTAAAGAGATTATTTAAGGTATTTTTTAACAAAATATTCTTTTAATAATCCTCTTTAAAAAGTATAAGACAATTATTTAAGATTTTTTTAATTGAAAAATGCCTTAAATAATTATTTTTAAAAAATATGAGAGGATTATTTAAGATTTTTTTTATCAAAAAATACTTTAAATAATTCTCTTAAAAAAATTAAGGATTATTTAAGGAGTTTTTTTATTTGAAAACACCTTAAATAATCTTTTTTTATTTTTTGAAGGTAATTATTTAAGGCTTTTTTCAATTAAAAACGTCTTAAATAATCCCTTTTAAAAGATATGAATAATTATTTAATGCATTTTTTAATAAAAAATACCTTAAATAATTTTTTTTTAAAAATATTAAGAATTATTTAAGGTGTTTTTGGTTGAAAAACGGCTTAAATAATCATTTTATTAAAGTATAAATAAATTATTTGAGGCGTTTCTATAAGCAAAAAAATTAAATGATCATTTTTTTTATAAAAAAGATTATTTAAGACATTTTCAAAATAGATACACCTTAAATACTCCTTCATATTTTTTAAAAGAGATTATTTAAGGCATTTATAATTGAACAACGCTTTAAATAATCTCTTTATATTTTTATATAGGAATTATTTAATGTATTTTTAAAAAATATATGGGAATTATTTAAAGTGGTTTTCAACCATAAACGCCTTAAGCCTATGTTTGGATTGAGGGAAAGGGAATGAAAGGAAAAGAAAATAAAAGAAAGCAATGGAAGTAGAAAATTCTTTCTTTTGTTTAAATAAACTTTTAATTTAAAAGAAATGAAAGAGGTGAAAACTCAATAACCTTTGGTTTCCCTATAATTCTCATTTTTTTAATACTTCAATTGAAATAAAAGCTAAAGAAAGAAAAGTTGAAAAATTTTTATTTTTATAAAAAAATGTTATATCTATATTTTTATTACAAAATTAGATTTAATTATATAATTGACACTTCCTATAAAGATAATTTTTTTATAAGTATTTTATATAATATCATAGTTTATAAATATTTTATAATTTTTTAAATCTTAACAACAAAACAAGCTAAATTATTGTCGGAATAAATTAAAAGACTAAATTAAACACAAAATTAAGAGTAAATCAACAACTAGCTAATACATTTTATTATATTAAATACGTTCAATTTTATTTAAAAAGATTTGTTTATACAAGCTAAGTAATATAAAAATATATTTATATATTATATGTTATTTTATAAAAAAAGGTTATAATTAGAAAAAATATTATAATGAATTATTTTTTTCCTTTTCATTATTTATCCAAACATTGATTATTAAAATTCATTTCCTCTATTAATTTTAACCATCTAAATAAGGAACATGTATCATTTCTTTTCATTTAAAAAACTTTTTTCTCCTTTCGTTTCATTTCATTTCATTTCCTTTATTTATATATATCCAAACATAATATAAATAATATTTTTTATATGAGAATTATTTACGATATTTTTTAACTAAAAATACTTTAAATAATTTTCAATATTTTTTTATTAATGATATTTTATAAATAAAAATGCAATCAAATAAAATATTTATATTCTTTTGCAAATGGATCATTTATCATTTATATTTTATTATTAATAAAAACTAATGAAAAATTATCATCATATATATGAAATTTTCAACAAAATTAGTAAATCTGAATATGTGATGCTTTAAAAATGAAAGAAAAACTTGGAGTATCGCACTTTTCGAGTGATCACACTTCTCATTAAAATCTAAGATTTTGTAAAAAGGACATTTGGTTCTGAAAAATTTATAAAATTTTTCTTAGAATCTTGATATTGGGTATTTAATTCTCATATTCGATTTAAGATAATCTGATTACAGAAAAAATGATAAATTTTCAATAATACTTAAAATTTCGAAATTAGAAACTCACATTTTTTTATAATATTTTAAAATTTTGAAAAAAAATTACATTACTTTCAAATTTAACTTGAATAAAAAAATAAAATAATTATTATTCTTTTGAAAAATATGTTTAAAAATAACTACAACACAATTATATATTTTTGTTAAAATTTTTTTTACCAGTTACTATATTAACTGTTGGGTTTTTCAAGGACGGAGGATAACCCTTTTAACGTTGTCTTGAATCTCACGTTGGTATAAATAAACCCTAATAAATAAATTTTTAAATTTAATTTATTCGGCTAAATCCGTGTGTCCAGCCTAAGAATAACATAACATAGCATCCAAATCCAATACTTGAAGGAGGGTTGGGCGTAGGTGCAGCGTGTCGCCAAAAGCAACCATAGAAAAGAGAAACCCCGCTTTCGCCGCCACTAAATAGCAAGTAGCAACCACTTCCCTTGGTTAAATGTTCAATGGCGTTCCTTGCATCCTCTGCTTCAGCTGCTGCACTACTCCCTTTCAGCAGTATGCTCTCTTTTTTCTCTATTCCTTTCTTTTCATCTGCTTTGCAGAATCTGATTTGCCAACTTTTTATATTTATTTAGGAATTTTTGGAAAGAAACAGAATCGACTATGTCCTGGTTATTCGACTAGATTGAGGGCTGGACCCTCCTATTTATCCAAGTTCAGGACACCCACTTTTGGTTCCGCCGCAACGGGAAAGACCGCTGGAGCTGTACGAGAAATATCTCAAGCTGATAGAAGGCCTCCTATCTACTCATGGCCTCGTAACAAGGTTTGGTTCCTTCCCTACAACAAACAAATTTATTCAATTCCAACATCTCTCGTTATTCTTCTATTACTTTGATAAACTATGGACTATGGACGGACCACTGGAAATTCCTAATGCGAAAATCATTCTGATTGATATGAAACTTTAGTATGATGACTGATTGACTTGCAAACATCCTGTCATAGTCCTAAAAGTATTTATATAGTGGCTCACATGAAACAATGAAACAAAAGGGTCGCCTGCATCAAATCCATTCTGATTCTCTCCTAAGTTAATGACTGAATTGCTGTTTACAGAGGCCAAGGGTGTGCATATTGGGCGGTGGATTTGGTGGTTTATATACTGCATTAAGGCTAGAATCTCTTGTATGGCCTGACGACAAGAAACCTCAGGTAAGTTGAGATTGAATTTTGATTATTATTTACTATACAGACAATGTCACGAATAGCCACTGAACTATAGTGAAATGTTCAATGTGATACATAAACTTTAAAAATCTCTAATGTGGTACATGAACTATGAATCTATTAAGTAATGTGGTACATTGGGGGCTGTTTACAGCCATTGGAGCTAAACACGTTAGGAGTGAGTACCATATTAGTTAACAGATTCATAGTTCAAGTACCATATTGGATATTTCTAAAGTTTAAGTATCATATTAAACATTTCACTATAGTTTAGGTCCTTTATTATGGTGTTTTTCAAAATGACATAGTCTGCAATGTATGAATGATATGCTGGCCACTATGATTAGATATCTGAAAACTACTGTTTCTTTGACCGTTTTCTTCGTTATGTTATATTTGAGTATGCATCCTTAATTTGATAAGTTGAGTTTGTAACAAATCCTTGAAGGTTATGACCTTGCATGCTAGCATTTATTGCTTGCTCTTCCATGACATGCATACAGCATAGTTTACCCTGACTTATCTGTTCAACCATGTTGAACTTCATCTTAGTTTAATTTGGTTGTCTCAAGTGTGTATTCTTTGGCATAGCAGATATGACTTGTGATGGGCTCTTCAAAGCACCTCTTATTAAGACCTCTAGCTATTAACAACAAACCAAGTAAAAGAAAGAAAGTTATATTCAAGAGAAAAAAAAATTCCATATTCCTTTGAAATCTTTTTCTAAGGAAAATGTTAGGTGCATCTCTCTCTCTCTCTCTCTCTCACACACACACACACACACACACACACACACACAACAGAAAGAATCTTCTTTCTAAAGGGTATGCAGAAGCGTAACATTCTAAATACTGCATTATTTGACAGCTGAGAAAGGGGAGAATGTTATCGTGTCATAACTAAGGCAGGTAGAGGATTATGGACATAAAACAAAGTATGGAATCCTTTCTACGTCGTTCTCCTTTGTTTTTATAGACTACAGGAGTTAAGGATAGCTGTTGAGCTCAAAAATAACAGAATTTTTAACTCAAAACTAAATTTCTGTAATTACATTAACACGAAAACATACCTGTCCAGCAACCAATTTTTAAGATTGTGATAAAATTGGTCAAGAGAAACAAAGAAAAGGTAACCAAATTTAAGAGGGATATGTGTTGGGTACGGGCATCCTTTTTAAACTCATTATCTTTTTTAATAACAAATGCTCTTATCTAAAGCCTAAAACTCATTATTCAAGCATTTTACATTGCATTCTATTGAGAAAATCATAGTTTTTCTGGAGAGCTAACAATGAGATGAGAGAATTACAGTTAGTTTCAATTAATTTTCTCCCCTAATTTTCTATAGGGGTTGTTGTTGCATATGGAAGACTACTGCCTATCATATTACCAGTGGTTTGGCCAAAATTAAACAAATATGAAGCATTAAATCCTGGAACAAAAAGTTCAAACTAGAGATCGCTAAGAAGGTTAAATATTAGTGACATGTTAATATCAAAACCGAATACTGACTAAAAACCAAATAACCTTGTTTATTAACCTAAAAAAAGTTTGTGGAAAGCAATTGGGAAAATCTTACATTCGAAGAAATAGTAAGATACCAAATAACTAGTAGATGCCAAATCAACATAGGAAGGGACATTATCTGATTAATTGATTTATAAAAAAGACAATTATGATGAGTCAAATGACTCTACACCTTTACTTTCTATATTGAGAAAAAAGAAGGCATGTTTGGGTTAATAGGCTGGATATTGGTCATATAAGCATTACGCTTGATATTATAGGGTAAATGGATTATTAATAACATAAGGACCCTACCTAAACACACCTATTTACCAACTCTATTTTAAACTACCCTAAGCTTTTAAACCTTGAAAATTCTGTCTTCATTTTCCTTTGCTTTCTTCACCATGTCTTCAATGACTTCAGCCAATTTAATTGTCATGTTGCTATAATTACTTTGATCAGAAAAGAAACATGGTTAATTCTAAAAATCGAACCATGTTTTGGTCAAACATTAAATTACAATTGTTGTCAAGGCATGTTCCTAGGTTAGAAAAGCATGCTCCAAGAAACTATTTTTGTGCTAAATTATTTATTGCCATGAAGCATAAATCATTCAACTCATTTTAAAGTCTAAGAATAGTGTATTCCATTAAAACACATGATACTCAATGAAGAATATGACATAAATATGCATTAGCCCCATCAGCATCCAAAAGAAAAGAAAATTAAAATGAACATTCAAATGCATACCATATGTTAAAAGCTGCTAAATTAACATTCCAGTTAATGCGTAAGTCAAAAAAAGGCTAAGTTGGATTAAAAAAAATTAGAAAACAAAATAATTTTTTGCCCAGATTAATTGCAAAACAATTCTAGAGGTATTGATACTTGTTTGGGCGGTATTGCTACCACAAAGAGAAGTTTGTTCCATTTTGTGCGTTTGCTTCAGTGGGGCATCGGTGATGGTAAGGTTGTTTATTGTATTTGTAATGGTTAACTTTGAGCTACTAGTGATGCTTGAAAACATGTTCGAATTCATTCACTTGTAGATTGTGGGAAAACACTTATTTACAGTTGGTTGTAATCTTGTAATCTGTATATTTATATTTGTATCTTTAGAATTAAGTATTTGTATCCCTAAAATTAAAGATAAAAAATTAGGATAGACAATCCCTCACTTATAGGATCAGTTTTAGGAAGATTTAGTTTTTTAGTTTACCCACTTGTTAGTTGTATATAAATCTAAGGTGCTTATATAATTCTTTATGAGCAGTTTTTCAATGTACATTTAGTTTTACTCTTAGTTTTTTATACAGTTTTATTTCTTAATTTTTTTAATGGAATCAGAGCTTTAGGCTCTTCTTAGGAAAAAAATTTTTTTCGACCTTCATTGCTGAATTTTATTTCATGGCCTTCATAGCCAAATCTTGTTAACTCTTTCAGTCTTATTTTTCTTTCTTTGGCCTTCATTGCCTAGAAACGTCTTTGGTTAAACCTTTACTATCAAGACTCGTTTCAGTCTTGAGAAAGATAACCATTCAAAGATAGCAGAATTTGTCAGTATTACCCGATTTGCGAAAGTGACAACTGATAAAATCACCGGAGTACTATAGAAGTCTGGGAACAAAGAGAGTTGGATAGATAAGAGATTGAGAAACTAAAAAGCCTATTAAAAACTCTCGAAAAGCTTACTGGATATGTTCTTTGGGTAAAGTCTCTAGTTCAAGTAAAGTTTCTGGTTTTCATGGATTAAATGTTTCGGTTAAACCTATTATGAGTTCTTGAGTTATTGACTTAGGAGCCACAAATCATATGACACATTCTTCATAGAAGTTTAGTACATATACCCTGTGTCCTAGTAATAAGAAAATTGTTGTTGCAAATGGTTTACTTACTATAGTGGCAGGATTAGGAGATGTTTAAATTAATCCCTCGTTTATTCTTAAAAATGTTTTTCATGTTCCTCGATTGTCTACTAATATGATATCGATACAAAAACATTTGAGGACCAAAGTTTGGGGAAGAGGATTGGACTTGCTAAGGAGAAGGACGGACTATACTATCTTGAGACATCAAACAACATAAGTAATATCAAGAATAGACTTTTGTCATTTCGTTCTAAAAAATCTCTCAATAAAGACAAAATCTGGCTTTATCATTTTCGTCTTGGACATCCTTTTTTTGGAACTTTGAAAAACATGTTTCTTTTTTTGTTCAAAGGATTAAATGTCGAAAATTTTCATTGTGATGTTTATGAACATGCAAAGCGGAGATGTGTCTTTTCCAATTAGCAATAAAAGAAGTTCTACTCCTTTTTACTTGATTCATAGTGACATATGGGGTGTCTCTACAATTCCTAATATTTCTGGTGCAAGGTGCTTTATTTTTTTCATAGATGATTGTAACAAGATCTCTTGGATATTTTTACTTAAATTCAAATTAGATGTGAATAGTGTGTTTTTAAGCTTTCAAAACATGATCCAGAATCAATTTAGAGTGAAAATCAAGAGATTTAGGTGTGATAATGCAGGAGACTATTTCAACCAAAATTTATCTACTTGTTTCCAAAAGGAGGGGATTATTTATGACTTAGCTTGTGTTAATACTCCACAGCAGAATGGAGTGGCAGAGAGGAAAAACAATCATTTATTAGCCACAACCCGAGCTTTACTTTTTCAAGCAAACGTACCCAAATCCTATTGGGGGGAAGCTGTTTTCATTGCCACATATGTTATAAATAGGTTACCTTCAAGCGTTTTGGGATTTAAAATTCCTATGGAACTACTTTCACAATTCTATCCCAGCTTTAATACCACAAACAACCTCACACCTAGGATATTTGTTTGTACATCATTTGTTCATGTTCACAGTCATAATATGGGGAGTTGGATCCTAGTGCAATAAGTGCATTTTTGTGGGGTATTCATCAACTCAGAAAGGGTATAAGTGTTATTCTCCTACCGAAAAATTTTATGTGTTTGCAGATGTCACTTTTGAAGAAAGTAAACCATATTTTACTCAAGCTTATCTTCAAGGGGAGACTTCATTCATGGAAGATAAAGATAAAGATTTCTTTTTGCTTGATTTGTCCTCTTTTTCAATATTTTAACCCATTAATTCTTCTAAGTTGAAATATGTTTCTTCTGAGTCCAAGTTAAACATTGAATTTGAGTCTGAACCTTTTCCAAACGTAGAAGATGTGACAAAAGATAATATTGTTCTTGATTCTATAAAAGAATTATAGGTGTACACAAGAAGGAAAGTATCAGATCCTGAACCAGTGCAAGTCTAAGAACCTGATCCTAACTCTGGAAATGAGGTAACTACAATCTTTGACTCTGTTTCTTAAAATGAGCATGAATCTCCTAAGCATTATGATTTGCTTATTGCCATTAGGAAAGGAATCAGAGAATGTACTAACCATCCACTATACCCAATCTCTAATTTTGTGTCATTTGAAAAATTCTCACCATCCCACAAAAATTTCCTTGAGAGCCTAAACACTTTCTATTCCAACTACATTATCCGAGGCATTATCCAGTGAGAAATGAAGGCAAGCTATAAAAATAGAAATGGAGGCCTTAGAGAAAAATAAGACATGGGAACTGGTAGAGTTGCCTAAAGAAAAAAATCTAGTTGGGTGTAAATGGGTTTTCACTGTAAGATATGAGGTGGATGGTACTGTTGAAAGGTATAAAGTCAGGTTGGTGGTTAAGGGCTACACTCAAACTTATGGTGTGGATTATCAGGAAACTTTTGCTCCAATTGTCAAGATAAATACAGTTAGGATTTTGTTATCATTAGCTGCATACAATTGGCAGCATCAACAATTTGATGTAAAGAATGTTTTTCTACATGGGGATTTGGAAGAAGAAATATATATTAAGGTTCCATCGGGATTTGGAGGTCATCTAGCAGCAAACAAAGTATGCAAGTTGAAAAAGGCTTTATATGGCCTTAAACAGTCTCCTAGGGCTTGGTTTGGGAGATTTGCCAAAGTGATGCTAGCAATGGGATGTATGCAGAGTCAGCGAGATCACACATTGTTTATCAAGCGCTCTGATTCAGAGAGAGTCATAGTTCTATTAGTGTATGTTGATGATATAATTGTAATTGGAGATGATAAAAAAGAGAGAGAATCTCTAAAATAGTGTTTGGCTAGAGAATTTGAGATAAAAGAAATAGGAGGATTGAAGTACTTCCTAGGAATTGAAGTAGCTCACTCACGGCATGGTATTTTGATCTCACAACAGAAATATGTGATGGATCTTTTGAAGGAAACTGGGAAGCTTGCATGTAAACTTGCAAATACCCTTATAGATCCTAATCATAAACTTGGAGAAGCTGATGAAGATGCTGTTATAGATAGAGAGATGTACTAGAGATTAGTTGGAAGACTCATTTATCTCTTACATACTAGACCTGATATAGCATATGTTGTGAGTGTGATAAGTCAATTTATGCATAGTTCTAAAGAAGTGCACCTAAAGGCTATTTACTGTGTATTACACTATTTGAAGGCGACTCCTGGGAGAGGTATCTTATTCAAAAGAAATTCGGGGTTGGTTCTAGAGGTATATATAGATGTTGATTATGCAGGTTCAGTAACTGATAGAAGATTCACTTTAGGCTATTGCACTTTTCTAGGTGGTAATCTTGTGACTTGGAGGAGTAAAAAACAGAATGTGGTGGCGAGATCAAGTGTTGAAGCAGACTTTGGAGCAATGGCTCAAGGAATTTGTGAACTACTATGGCTAAAGATTAGCCTAGAAGACTTGAAGATCAAGTGGGATGGACCAATAAGACTCTACTATAATAACAAGTCTGCAATAAGCATTGCATACAATCCTGTGCAACATGACAGAACAAAACACATTGAAGTAGACCGGCATTTCATAAAGGAAAAATTAGACAGAGGGTTGATTTGTACATTGTATGTATCAACCAAAGGTCAACTTGCAGATGTGTTGACTAAAGGTCTTAGCAGTGTAACATTTCAAGAAATTATTTCCAAGTTGGGAATGGAAAACACTTATTTACCACCTTGAAGGGGAGTGTGGGAACACACTTATTTACAAATGGTTGTAATCTTGTAATCTTTATATTTATATTTGTATCTCTAGAATTAAGTATTTGTTTCCCTAAAATTAAGGACAAAAAATTAGGATAGACAATCCCTCAATTATAGGATCAGTTTTAGAAATATTTAGTTTCTTAGTTTACCCACTAGTTAGTTGTATATAAACCTAAGGTGGTTGTATGATTCTTTATGAGTAGTTTTTCAATATACATTCAGTTTTACTCTTAGTTTTTCACACGGGTTTTATTTTTTAGTTTTTCCACATAGATTACTGAAAATAAAGCATTTGATCTTATGTCATTTTGAATGCAACTGTAATAGCATCTGTAGTAGGGTCCTTGGATTAATATGTTACAAGTTTTCACAAACTATCAGTTAATATTTTCTGCCTTTTCCAAAAACTCTGAGGGATGTGTTTTACCATTCTTATTTGTCTGTTGAATTTGATACATTCTTTTGTTTTAAAGTCTCTATAGGGATAACTACCAAACTAGAACTGAAAATTGAAACTGGAAAAGAGTTTTATCCATGACGCAAAGGAAAAAGGCAAGTACTGCAAAAGATCTTTATCTAATAGTTAAAGACCCAAATAATAAAGTCAGTTTATAACTTCTGTTAGATTGCATCGTTTAATTTATCTTGAACCATGACACTTGAGAAAGCTCATGCTTGTCTTGTATATATTTACAATTTGAATGGTATTCCATAAATCATGGATTCAGTTTGCATAAATAGAGTCTGTCAAAGCTGGGTTAAGGCTGCATACATCTGAACCTTCTAGATCTTGAAATTAGGGAGCTTCATACATTGTTGCCTTCTTTTCAATTTTATTTTAGATTGTTTATTGAATCACATATGATTGTTGTGTGTCTTCTCATTTCAATTAGTTGTTCTCATTGTCAAGACCCTTAAGTGATTTTTTTCATCCGTTTTATCCAAAAATTTGCAATTTTAAAAAAGAAAGGAGGAAAAAAAAGGTGTGTATGTGTATGCTATGGATTTTAATTACTTCTCTGTCCACAAATTACTTTCTTTTCAAAATGTTGGTATCGTAAAAAAATGTCCCTTGATTTCATATTTCCCTTTTTCCTGTTAATAAGAAGATAGAATCAGAACATTAATATTGTGTGATATAGGCATTGTTTCTTAATGCAATTTCTCCGCTTCTCAACTCACTTGTTTACTTCACTGAATATGGATCAGGTGCTTCTTATTGATCAGTCTGAACGATTTGTTTTTAAGCCAATGTTGTATGAGCTTCTATCTGGAGGTATGTTTTCTGGATCAAATTCTAAGGACATAAATTCTTGCTTCTATAGAGAATTTAGTTGATCATTCTTTTCAAATGAAGTCAAGAGCTTGATTGTGGTAGAATTATTTTGTGATGCAGAAGTTGATGCGTGGGAAATTGCTCCTCGTTTTTCAGAGTTACTTGCAAACACTGGTGTTGAGTTTTTTCAAGACAGGGTAAAACTGTTACATCCCTCTGACCAGTGGGGAACAAATGGCCCTAAACAATCAAGTTGCGGTGGGACTGTGCTACTTGAAAGCGGCCTTATCATTGAGTATGACTGGTATAATTTTGTTACCATCACTACCAATCCTAGTTGTTTATGATGATAATTTTGAAGGTTTTTCTTAATGACACCACTTCTCATTGACTATGTTGCTTCCTTTATTCTTGTGCTATGATTTCTCAACTTAGAGCAACTGAAATACATCTTCTAAGTATTTGATGTGAAAAAGATGTATTATCAGTCTTGTATGGTTCCAAGACTATTTTTCAACACTCTGGCAACATTTATGAACTTTGCATAAGTGGTCTTTTTGATTAGCATACATGCACGTTGGCTTTCTTATTTGGGTTGCTTGTAATTTTTGAATGCCCATCTGATATTATTTTATCTTATCTTGGGCAGCTAGGTTGGTTCTTGCTTTGGGAGCTGAAACTAAACTTGATATTGTACCGGGTGCTTTAGAGTTTGCATTGCCATTCTCCACCCTAGAGGATGCATATGTAAGAGTCCTCCAGCTACCCCCTTGACATCTTGATATAGCCTTCTTTTAGTTTCTAGTTTGCTGCCGGACTCTTAGTTTTTTATCCTTGTTAGCCTTTTGTTTACATCTTTTCATGTTACCCTTTTTTTTATGCAGAAGGTTGACAAGAAGTTAAGAGCATTGGAGCGGAGGAAGTTTGGTAAAGATTCTCCTATTCATGTGGCTGTAGTTGGTTGTGGTTATTCTGGAGTGGAGTTAGCTGCCACAGTGTCAGAGAGACTACATGATAGAGGAATAGTACAAGCTATTAACGTTGAAACCACAATCTGTCCAATTGCCCCAGCTGGAAATAGGGAAGCTGCTTTAAAAGTAAGATACTAACTTTTGGAAAGCATGTATTCTTGGTCCTTTTTTTTTATGTTACCATGGTGTTTCCATATGAAATGATAAGAACTCAATAGGAGTCATCTGGCTGGTTTTGGGAAGAAATGGAGGTTGTATTGTTTACATTTAAGTTATAGAGGACATGCATGATGGTTGTATGCCCAAGGAGGCATGATCAATTGTTTCCAAATGGTAATGGGCTTGCCGTAGGCATCAACTTTGAGCTTAGCTTTTTACCCTGGTAATGGATGGATTTTCAAGGCTTATTCAGGACCCTATTAATTGGCGCATCCCTTTTGCAGATGACCTATTTTTGGGTGTATAAGACCAAAATAGGGACTAATCCAAAGCTTGAGTTCTGGAGAAGAATTTTGGAGTCAAAGGGCTTTGCATTATGAATGTTTAGATGTATATGATGTGAAGAAGGATTATACCAAGACTAAATGCATTCAGAAAGTGTAGATCTGCTGCAAATTGAGGACAAAAAGAATGAGATGTGTTTAAGGTGGTATTGACATGTAAGGTGAAGGAGAAAATGTGACTTGATGGAGAATACACGTGTCCAAAGGAGGAGAAGACTGGCAAAAAAAAATGGAAACTATTAAAAAGCTTCTTGTTTTAATGGAAATTTATGGAGATGGTAATAAAGCAGAATAGCTGAATATGAGTCATGTAGCTGATTCTCCATAGTCAGAAAAGGCTTCTTGCTGTTGTTGAATAATAATAAGTTATAATTTTAACTTCTTATAGCATTAGGATAATTTAATTTGAAGCACTACTTGATTGGCTTTTCCTTAAATTTATTTAGATAGAAAGTGCCGAAATTCTGCAAAAGCATTTGAAAATCTTATTGAGCAGCAGCTAGTGCGGCATCATTTCAGTTTCAAGCTGAACTTGATGTTCACATGTGTGTTCATATCTCTGCAATGCTCTCATTAACAATATTATTTCAAAGAATCAGGCATGGGAGCTTTAAGCTTCATACCATTATATGTGCTCTTAAGCATTTGTAGTTCTTATTATCCTGTCTTATGCTTTTAATTCTCTTGTTTGTAGTATGTGTTTAACTGTAGTAGCAGCCTTAATTTGGCCTTTCTAATGTTTGTGCTTGTTTGTACTAGGTTCTTTCATCTAGGAAAGTTCAACTTCTCCTGGGTTATTTTGTTCGCTGCATACAGAGAGTAAGTGATGTGGAAGCTTCAGCAGATGCAACTGGTATAAGAGAAAGCCAAGACGTTGCAGAATGCAACTCTGAGAAATATGTTTTGTGTCTGCAACCTGCTGAAAAGGGATTAAAAAGTCAAATTCTGGAAGCAGATTTGGTGTTATGGACAGTTGGCTCCAAACCTCTTCTTCCTGAACTGGAACCCTGTGACAAACGCCATGAACTTCCACTGAATGCCAGGGGACAAGCAGAAACAGATGAAACTCTCCGTGTTAAGGGCCATCCCCGCATATTTGCACTTGGTGACTCTTCTGCTCTAAGGGACTCAACCGGACGGCTTCTGCCGGCCACAGCTCAGGTATAACCTACAAGCTTTAGTTTTATTGTAAGATTTAATATATTTTTCATTTCACTACTTTGCTGAAACACTGTCAAAACTTCCATTGTTATTTTTCTAAATGGGACTTTAGGTTTTCATATGGTTCCACAACTGCAACTTCCCAAACCTATCAATGTTTTATTATTTTTACATTCTCATCATTTTTATTTTATTGACTTGCTTGCTTGTCTTTCTAAGGTTGCTTTTCAGCAAGCGGACTTTGCTGGTTGGAATCTATGGGCTGCAATTAATCACCGTCCTTTGTTGCCATTTAGGTTAGAAATACGGACACTTATTAATATGAAAGTAAAATTGCATGGCTTTTTATAGCACCAATGAAGTGTTTGTATTTTTCTAAGCCATTACCTTGATATTCTTTTTCTTTCCCTCCTTTTCATCCTGGTTGCTAGTGTATAATTTCAAGGGAGCATGCATATCCTTTGCCCCTTCATTAAGATTTTACATATTAGCTGGTTTAATAGATTCTTTCATATGTTTTACAAGATGAAAACTACTCACTTATGTATAGACATCATTCATGCTGTTAAATAAGTCTAAAATATGTGGGGGGGAAGGTGATCTGAAGTTCCTGATAAAATGTAGTCCCAATAATCATGCTGCAGATGGTTCATTGCTATGTTGATAAAGAGTTAATCATTCTTGGACAGTAGACATTTTTACATGTTTTAAAATTTTCATGGAAGTTTAGATTGTATTCTCTCAACTCCCTCCATTTTTGTTGGGTTGTTTATCATGCAGACGATAGTATACACTGTTGGTTTTTTTCCACTTGCAATCACCACTTTTATGCCTGCTTTATGTTGTATGTCCTATCCAGTATAGCTACGGATGGACATGTCTGAGTGTGTGTATGTGTTCTGTGAACATGGTAGTCATACATTTCTGTCATTTTGTTACGTGCGAGGTCGTTATACTGCCTAAAGTTGTACTGAAGTTCTTGAACTAGAATAAGTTTTCGAAAACTATCATGTTTGACTACCAGATTCCAGAATCTAGGAGAGATGATGACCCTAGGGAGAAATGATGCTGCTGTTTCGCCAAGTTTCATTGAGGGTCTAACCTTAGAGGGTCCTATTGGCCATGCTGGTAAGTTCTTTGTGCATTGATTTCTCTGAATATCCTCCCTCATTCCTACTTTTGCTTCTATTTTAAGTTTTTAACCAATTTTTCATCATCACTTCAGCAAGGAAAATAGCATACTTGATTAGATTACCGACAGACGAGCACCGGTTTAAGGTGGGACTTAGCTGGTTCGCTAAATCTGCCATAGATTCAGTAGCATCGATACAGAGCACTCTAACAAAGGTTCTTTCAGGCTCATAGATACTCTGTTAGAAAGCAAGAGTGATGGGATTGTTTGAATTAAAAAGTTTTCCTTTATGCCAATGTAATTTGCTTATTAACACCACACCATTTGGGTCTTGAATACTACAAATTTTTATTATAAAATAATAACTAGATTAGTAAATTATTTATATTTAATTATATATTATTTCTTAATTATTTGATATTATTGTCTTTTCTAAGAAAATGAATATTTTTTACTTTAACATATAATTTTTTTCCCTTACTCTTTTATTCTATCTTTTTAAGAAAGCATTTTCAACAATTGTTTTCTAAAAAAATTATTCATATATTATATAGTATAATATAGTTAAAGATGTTAAAAAAAATGTACAAAAATGTCAACGAGACTATTGTGAAAAAGATGGAACATTGAATGTTACTTCACCGAAAAGGAATGAAAATAATCTTAAAATATGGTAGGATTGTTGGATTAATTCAATTATTGGAATGTTTCGAAAACTTTGGCTTGGAGGTTCGGATGGTTGAGAAATTTTTCATAACATTTTTTTTGAAGTACAGGTGTTTGTTAGTTGTTTTTCCCTTTTTTAGAGTAGATAGTGAACTTTTAATGAGCAATGCATTAATACTTTTTGTAGCTGTTAATTTCATAATTATTCTTATTCAATATTTGTAACTTCTACTTTTGAAAACTGGTTCGCGCAATTCATTTGGGGATTTTTGAAGATTTTTTAAAACTTTGGCAAATTCACTCAATCTTCTTTAAAATTTTCCATGTAATTCTCTTTTCTCAATTCGATTCTTCTTTCTTTTCAGCCTTACTTCACCGGCTCCTATCATCTATTATTGCACTCAATATTTTAGAATACTTGTTTGCAACACTTTTGTCTTCTCATCGAAAAACCTCTTAACAAAAGCTATATTCTTATTCTGAAAAAAAAAAAAAAAAAAGTTCATCTCACCCTCATTTTTTAAGTACAAAAAAAAAAAAAAAAAACTATAATGAATATGTTAAAACTCTGAACTCTAAAATGTAGACTAAGATAATAAGAACGTGTAATGAAGAAATTAATAATTGAATACTGGGATTGCCCATAAACTAAAACCTAAGACACTAAAACAAAAAATCATCTTGATCACTGATATCCTGTAGCAACACCTTTCTAGCTCGGGTATGCACTTTTTAGACATATGGATTGGATTATGGTGAGGCAAGGCGAAGTGTCCTTATCTGTTTTACGCCTCTCCCATCTCAATATCTTGTCTCTATAAACAATCGCCAAGGCCTTTTGATATCACTACCAAAGACTTTCTTTTCCCATTTCAATTAGGCATTAAATGTTAAATGTAGAAAATTTATTTTATATATTAAACAGTAAAATTTTTAAATTTCACAAGAGAATTTAGAAGATTGATATGTATTTCATTAAGATATATTTATAAAATTAAATTAATAAATTAACTACATCTACTTGTAAATTTTAATATAAATTTCATTATATAGATATATAGAAAGAATAAGTGTCCATTATTATTATTATTATTATTATTATTATTTGTTTGATAAGGGAGAAATATCATTAAATATCAAAATGCATTCGTATTACAATAGGAGTTGGGCAAAGAACCCTCCCAAATTCTTTGAGGCCCAACTTCAGACTCAAATATGGCTTAGATTCCTCTTGATTGTGTGGACAAAAGAACAAGCAATGCATGATGAGGAAGCTAGGTCTATAATATACCAAATCAACCCTGCCCCATCCCAGCTGCACTTTTCAGAATCACTTTCGACAATGGTTGAATGGAAGCCATAAGTAAGAGATAACTAATTCGAACCAAACAAAATGGCTTGAACTTCAGCATGCATATCTCTAACAACCATTTCTGGTGTTGTCGTATCATTTCGAGCATCCACAAGTGCATTTGCATTTACATTTACATTACAAGCTTGATATGGAGGAAACACCCACTACCGATGAAATTCTCTTATGATAATCTTTTACTGAAAAGGACTCTGTTAGGGGTATTTTTAGATTTAGAGAGTAAATCGATTTTTTTTTCCTTGTTAGAGATTATCAGCAAACAACTAAAAGTATTTTAGATTTTTGAGCCAACTTGACATTTATAGTGCTACGGCAGCTTGTTACGTCACAAATCTCTCACCTTCGACCTATAAACAGAACCATTCAGATACTATCTACTTAATCTAACTTTCCCTTTTACTTTCCTACTTCTCTCTCCTTCTGACCTTTCATATTTCAACTCTAACTTGAGTATCGGAATGCAAACGCAAAAAATACTCACTGCCTTTACTCTTAACGATTCTTTTTTATTTAAGATTTCATGATTTTTACCTTCAGCTCAAAGTTTAGTACCATCAGACCCTTCTAACAACTTTTTAGCTCTAGTAACTAAGTCTTTTGACAAACCACAAGCAATATTATGTAACAACCATAAAACATACATAAGATTCTCCTTACTAGTTTTAATTGGTCAAATTATGATAATGGTTTTTGTCTTTTAACAAAATTTGAAATTTAGTCTTTTTTATTATAATTCATAAAAATATAGTTTCGTATTATTTTGATTTGATAATTTTAGTCTAATCACTAACTATGTTCAATTTTTGCACGTGACCGCTAATTTGATGACATAGTTGTTGATCTTGTTGTGTGTCATTGATTTTGTTGATGCAATAACATGAATAAATGAAATCAATTGTCAAATAGTGCAAATGATTTCTGTACTCACATGAAATTTAAATATTAATCTTTATATTATAATTTATAAAAATCTCATTTTTGTATAAGTTCAATTTGATAATGTTGATCAAATTACTAATGCAATTAATTACTCTTTATTCACTTTGTTGACGTAATCGCTATTTTTTCAGAAAAATATTTGAAAATTAAAAAGTTTTAAAAAATAAAAAAAAATCTCAGAAATTAAAAAATGATAAAAAAGTAAAAAAATTATTTTTAGGTTTTTTAAAAAAGTTTTTAAAAACATTAAATTAAAAAAATTCCTATATTTTAATTTTTTTAAAAAATAATATTTCTAGATTTTTTTGGAAAAATAATGTTTTAATTTAAAAAATTATAATTTATGAATTATTTAGAAAATTTCAACATTTTTAAAAATATGAAATCTAATTTTTTCCAATATTTTAATTTTATTGAAAAATAATATTCCTTTTATTTTTTAAAAAATAATATTTTAATTTTTTAAAAAATTGTTAGAATTTGTCAAAATTTTAAAATATTAAAATTGATTTTTTTCCAATACCTTAATTTTAAAATATTAAATTTAATATTTTAAAAAACTCCAAAAATTTTCTAAAAAATTAAAAATATTTAATTTTTTTTAAAAATTCACTTTTATTAAAAAATGCAAAAAATATTTTTAAAAAGATGAAATCTAATTTTTTCATAAAAAGTCAAGAAATATTATTTTTTAAAAAAATTCAAATATTGAAAAAATAAAATTAATATTTTTAAAATAAAAATTATAAATAATTCAAAATTATGATTTTTTAAAAATATTTGAAAAAAATGAAATTTAATGTTTTTAAAAAATTTGAAAAAAACCTAAAAATCATATTTTTCTTTAATTTTTTGGGGATTTTTAAAAAAAGTTTTAGATTTAAAAAAAATTAGGATTTTTGTTAATTTTTAGATGATTTTGTAAAAAGATAACGGTCACGTTAGCAAAATTAATGAAAAGTAATTGATCACATTAGTAATTACACTAATATTATCAAATTCAACTTGTATGAGGATGAGATTTTTATAAATTATACGAAAGAGACTATAATTCAAATTTCGTGTGAGTACATGGGACTATTTGTAAATTTTACAATTGGTTTCATTAATCCATATTGACACATTAGCAAAATCAATTCCACGTCAGCAAGGTTAATGTCAACGTCATCAATTCAACGATCACATCATTATTTTTAATGATAAAAATTTCACGATTAGTGATTGGATTAAGATTATCAAATTAAAATAGTATAAGAACTACAATTCTATGAATTATGATATAGGAACTAAAATTTAAATTTTGTTAAAGTACATAAACCATTATCATAATTTGATGACTTTAATTAAAAGGTGAACCCAAAATTCCATAAATGAAGACCATATCTTAATGAGAGGCAAGAATCACTCACATGCATAGCGACAAACCGTGAAGTAAAAGTGCATTGAAAAAAAAAAAAGAAAAAATGACTTTCAAATTACCACAAATGGAACAAATATTGCTACCTAAAGGCATTTACTTATAAGTAGAGGCAAATCTAAGGGTAGGTAGGGGCCACAACCTCTTTAAAAATTTTGATACCCTTATGTTAAAGTGTTGGCACCATCTTATATAAGCTTTGCCCCATTTTTTTCCCATTTTAAAGTACTATTTGATCCCCCTTTCAAGAGTGCCATGCCTTTGCCTTTGCTTTTAAACGTATCTTTGGTAGGCAAATGGGAAAGAGATACTCCAATGATACTTTTTTTTATCCAAAGAACCTTTCTTGTTGTTGTATATGCAATAGTTATGGCAATAAGAATAATAAAAAGGAAAGAAATAAGTCTTTAAACAAGGTATTTGCAAGAAGCTTTTTTAAGAATAATAGTTTCTTCACTATGGTACAAATGAACTTTTAAAGACATTATCCCAAGGTACAATGCCTAAATTGAAGAAGAACTTGATTGCACTTCAATTCTTTTTCAACTCGCTTGAACCAAAAACCCAAAAAAAAAAAAAAAAGTGCAAGAAGGAAATTTGGCTTTTTATCTTAAAATAATGTAAAGTTATGTGAAAATGAGAGTTTATTGATGAATTTATAAGCCTCAACCAGTTTTAAAAACACTATTTCATCAATAGGCATCTTTTGGATGAAGAATCATTATTTTTGGAATGATAAAACACGTTCAACAAATATATTTCTTGAATTTCCAGAAAGGGCATTCAGATACTTGATAATGATATTCGAATTCTCTATGTCATTTTTCAAATAGAAAGTGTGCATTTGAATTCCCTCATAGAAGAATTAGAATTGCCTAATTCTCAACTCAAATTTAAGCATTTGAATGAATTCCCAAAGCATTCAATTTTCTTTGTTTTTCTTCATTTCAATGATTCTTCCATACTTCCA